TATAAATTGTTTCGTCGTATCGCAGCATTCCCTCGAGCTAGTGGGAACATCTCCCATATCCATATCTTGTAATAAATATACATTAATATATAAGAGTTAGCAATAACTAACAGGGATTATGAAAAAATAAAAACCAAAAAATTTAAAATTATATTTTTACCTTCAACGGAATAACAAAACCGGATAGTGTATACACACAAGGTTTTGTGAGATGTTTGGACATATGATCCTCAAATTTCTTAAACATACCCGACAATCTAGGGTATGTTTTACTCCATAGGTAACTCCCCCACGAGAACCTATATTATATGCAAAACTATTAGTTAAACATATAAAAAATAGTATTTTTTTATAATATTAAATTGATAAATACCTGTTCCATTCATCCAGGTTCTCCACCACCCACAGAAATTCCTTCGTGACTTTGTATTTGGGTTCTTTTCCCAAAAAACCTTGATTGAGGATATATAGCAAAATCGCACGGACAACATCGTCAGCCGATATCTCATTGAACCGTCGGTTCAAGATAAGTAGCTCTAAATCTTCTACAAGTAACGTAGTGTCCGTGCGATACGGGAAGACTCTGGACCGAAATGTATTATCACCGTATCCGTGATTATACATGGTTGAAAATTCGATCCTTGAAGTAGGAAAACGGCCCATGTAAAGTCCCGAGACAATACAAAACTCTTCCGGGCCAAATGATAAAGAACGTCTAGAAAACATGAAATGTAGACGCTCAGCTGCATCACTTTCAGGGGTAGGACGCAACATGTGAAGTAGTAGGCCATGAATAAGTAGTCCGTCTCCGGACTGAGCCGGTAGATCCAAGAGGTAACCAAAGCTAGTCCTTGAAAATATCTCTCGAACCGGCCCATTCAACTGACTCAAAACTTCATGCAACTTGTGACATGAAGCTTTCACAGATATATTGCATGTCATCTTTTTGTTAGGAAGCTACAAAATAAATAAAAAATAAAGTTAAATAAGGTTTTATAAAAAAAAACAGTGTTGGAGTATCACACAATAAAACAGTTAAACATTTCATATAATCTATTTACTTTCTATAAAATACCAAAGTAAATTATTTTACACAAAATTTTGTCTTTTCTATACTACTTGTATACAAAAAATAGTATTGTACTTTAAAAATGGTGTGACAATAACATATTTTATAACAAACCCGAAACTACCAAAACACAATGTTATTTTATCAATACAGTATAATACAAAGTATCTACACATTATACACATAAAAACTTCTTCAAATAGATACTACATTGCTATTGTATGCTATAATTGAGACATAGAAAATAACATCATTTTTAACAACATGCAAAACAGTGAATCATAAGATACATACAAGGGGATACAATCGTTACAAATACGTTTAAACAAATTTTTTTTAATAAAATTGAAAATAAAAATATATATGTAAAACCATACATTTTAGGAAACCTATAATTTTTTTTCCAAAAAAAATCATAAGATACATACAAGGGGATACAAATGTTTATTGGCTATTAATTTTTTTTAATAATAAAAAAAAACGGTTTTTTTTTAAACCTACGGTGTACAAGTGTTTACTGCACAAACAGTGCAGTAAATACTTGTACACCGTAGGTTTCTAATAAACCTACGGTTTCCCTTTTTTTTATAAAAAAATTATACCACAACAAAATACATCCAATTCCTATTCTATTGATACCATTTTTTAAAAAAAAACGAAAAAAAAATAACGTCCGTACGGTTTCATATGAAACCTACGGTGTACAAGTTGAAACTGCACAAACAGTGCATTGGGCACTTGTACACCGTAGGTTTCATATGAAACCTACGGTTTTATATTTTTTTTTTCAATTTTTTTCAAAAAAAAATTTATCCCCATAAACAAAACCTACTCCTAATCACAAACACGGTAAAATTTTTAAGAAAAGTAGACAAACCTGATTGTTCTTCGGGTGCTCCATTGAGAGAAAAACGTAGCCTAACAATAAAAAAACAATAGAAAAATGACATAATCTGAAAAAAATTTCATTATATATTTTGGGCTAATGGGTCACGAAAAAGTAGACGGCCCTTTGAAACAGTAGCCCATTAGGGGAAAAGAGTAGTCAACGGGCGTTGACCGTAGTCATCCCCTGTTGACCGTAGTCAACCGAATGTTGACTACTCTTTTGTGGGCTATTTTTGGCTAAGTGAGTTTTTTTGGCTATTTTTTGATAAGTAATTAGGAAAAAATGCTAGTTTTGTAATTTCCCCTTTTTTTAATCGACCTAAAAAAATCAAATTGGTTTTTTAATAACCGGTTCAACTTTGGTTAGAAATAGGTTTTAATAAAAATTAAAAACCAATTTTTCTAAAGAAATTGAACCGAACCGTTTTTAACTAAAAAAATTGGTTTTTTAACGCAATTTCATTTCCAAAACAAATGTAAAATACACCTCTATATATAGTATAAATAGGTAATGGTCTGTTTAGTGTTATCACACACACGAGAAAATGACTTAACTCGAAAAATGATTGCAATTCCGAATGATATTGTTGTATTTATTTTTCCAAAACCTATTGACAGGGCGATGTTTGACAAACTTTTTGAGTTGGTTGAAATGACTTTTAGGATCTAAGTAACATGTTGCAAAAATTATGGTGCTTTGTTTATGAATGAAGGGAACTATAGGCTTGCATGCCACACTCTCTTATGCCCGAGTGGCCGAATGGAACGGTCCAATGTACCGTGATACAAATATATGATACGTTGGAACCGTGTAGAGTGGTCCAAACATTGGTGGTTAATGAGATTGTACCCGAAAATCTAGCAAAGAACTCCTTTTAAATCCCTATGATTTTTTTTTTGTAAATTCTTTAATTGCATCACGCTTTAGGGTCGTGCGACTTATTTGACAAAAACTCGATTGTAAAGCTCTCTTGATGAATTTTATAACTTTTGGTCGGCTAAAGAAATCAAATGAAATTTTTTTCTTATATGACTAGTTGTATAGATAAATCACAAACCAATTGGTTATCGTAACGACATATTCGACAAACTTCACCTAATTGTGTTTGGGTAGATAATGTATCTTCATTTTTCCTTTCACATGATATGTAACAACTTATAAGTAAATTAAATTAATAAAACTTATTAACTAAACATAACTTATAAATGACTTATTAATTTTCAAAACAACAAGTTTGACTACCAAGCCGGAGGCAAGATCTTTTCCGTATAAACCAATCCAACAACTAAACTGATCCTGACTATTCTACACATCACTCTCGGAGTTATATACACTAGTATTGTAACCATAATTATTGCTTAAAGTATGTGTTGCAAATGACAGATTATAAGAAACTAACTAAATAAACTAAACTAATCATATGTTAGTCAGGGTTTGTTTTTTCATGTTAATGTGATGTTATTGGTATCGTGTGTTTCTTTTATTGACGATTACTAACATATAACTCATTAAGAATTTCCATGCCTAATACTTTGCGTTTGTGACGTGTGCCAGGTGAAGAATAATTGCTTGAGTGAAGGGAGTACTAGAAGAGAGTTGATAGTTTAGTATTATACTTTTGTTATCATCTCTATAAACTAAGTTTGTTTGTGGTATTAAAAATTTAGTAAAGCACTGAAGACTTCCACTATTTTACTTGTGAATTACAAATTTCTAATGTTTTAAAGACTATTGCAAGCTGCATGTACAAGGAATTTTAGAGAGTAGGACTTCATCAGTCTTAGTGCGTTGCTACCGATACGACTTTTTAGGCTCGATTCACAACCCACATCTAGTCAACATGTGTGTAAGAAAGTAAGAAACAAGGATAAGTGGTCGCTTAATTGTCACAATCCATTTATAGGGAATGGGCCCATCATTCTTTTTTGACAGAAAAGGAAATTACATTGGTATGTATATTAAGGAGACATATAAGAAATTATATTGGTATGTATATTAAGGAGACATATAACATTATAATTGATGGAGAAAAGTGTTTACTCGCCAAAAAAAAACTAATAAACTCACTGAAAATAAGACCTTTTTACATGACATCTAAGGTGTTTAGGAAACTTAATCAAAATACTTGAATAAAGTCATTATTTAAACCTAGCATTGTAAAGATTCTAAGATGCCAACTTGCAAAACATTTAGACAACTTTTGTGGGAGTTTATGGTCGATATGCAATCACTTTTCCACTAATAAATGAAAACAAAATGAATGTTATAGGTGGACGAAAGTAAATACTTGATTTTGATGTATCTCAAATTATTGATTTAAAAATTTAATTGTTAGCAAATGCAAGGGCCACATACTTAGGTTGGAGGGTCATCATTTGTTCAGGAGAAGTAGCTCTAAATTTTTGAAAAATGCATATAAAAGCTAAAAGCTAATAAGAACTCTTAAAACTAGTTGAAGTTGTTTTTGGATTGATAGTTTTTTCTTTAGAATACAAAGTTCTAAGCTCGGCTGTTGGACATTTTTTTTTTTATTTAATTCGAGTTTTTTTAAAGCTAAAGACTAAAGCTTTAAAAACTCTCAAAAGCTCATTGCACCCTAAATGCATATTTTGTATTCCAAACTTCAAAAGGTTTATCGAAAATGTTAAAGGCAATGATTTTTATCCCAAACATCAAAATATTAAATCACAGAAACAAACTATTCTATAATACCAAACATCATGAAGCTCATTGTATACGATTATACAATATGATGAAATATACAACCATGTCTCATCTTAAGGCCAAAATTACAACATTTTATTGCATTATAGACTTCTTTATGAGGATATGCAATTAATACAACTAAAAATGCAATCATATTTTAGCTATTAAGCGTAATGTGGTCAAATATTTTATTTTTTACTCCTAAAATAACACGTTGTAGCATATTTTATGTATCAAACAACTTTTTTAAATAAATTTGAAGAAAGGTTAAATAAATGCAAGGCATATTTAGTCATTAATATTATTACTATATCAAAATATTATAGGAGCAAAATATTTATATGAAAATAATGCTAATTGTAATTCCAATTTGGGATAACGTAGTAAAATGTAATTTATCTAAAATTAGACCACCCTAACTAACGTTAGGAACCTAACAACTACAAAAGTCTTCCAACATCCCACTAAAATTATACAATCTGAACCTAACCGGCCCAAACCTAATGAACCCGGTCCTGTCTAACATGAAAGACTATCAAAACCAACACTAAAATCCGGTTCAACTTCAGTTTCCTTCTTCTTTCTCATTTCCAACACTTTCCGGTGACTGTTAGAATGCAGATCACCAGAAAATGTTGGACTACAAGCCGGTCTGTACTCAGGATACAGACGACCAGATTTGAACCGAACTCCACAGGCATTACACAATGTCTTCGGTCCTAAAGGACCAGTTCGCCACTGAGGGGTTTTCTGAACCTGACAATGTGTACATCGTCGTTGCGTTATACATCCGTTTAAATCGGATGCAATCGCGGTACCCGTATTTTTCTTATGCTTTTTTGTTGGTGGGGTTTGGAAATTGAAAATTGATTGTATGATTTGAACCGGGTTTAGGGAATGCGTAGTGGTGGACGAGTCATAGGAAGATGAGGTGTCCATGGATGACTCGGTCAAACAGGACCAAACTTGGCCGGTTTTCTTGGACCGTTTGCTTCTGCACTGTCGGGGTACTGGGTACGATAATCCCAAAACGGTAAAACTTGGAATCACCGGTCTTACCGGTTCGTGCCGGTTCATGGTGAATTTCACGGTCTTCTTCAAATTCGTCGGCGGGAATGAAAGCGAAAATTCCGATGTGGAATCATCCACAATTTGTGATAACCATTCAAGGTTTTCCATGTCGTCAACCTGGAAATAAATTCTTCGTTATTATTCAAATTAAAACTTGTAGTAAAATTGACATGAATTCAACTTTTCATCCAAGAGATTTAATGAATTTGTTGAATCAAAACTGAAACGTTTAAATCAATGAAAAAATGTTAGACCTGCAATAGAAATTTCGAAAAAAAGTTGTTTGTACTTTATTTTAATTAGATACTTTTTTCAGTAAAATTCGTCGTCTTCACTTTTCCATACGAATAATTGAACATAATTCGACTTTTTCATCACGAAAATTAACGAAATTGTTGAATCATGAATGCAACGTTTGACCAGAAAAGTCAAACGAAAACAGATGTTTAACCATGTTGTAATTACCGGAAGGTGAATTTCGCCGGCGGGAAGAGAGACAAGGTCACCGGTACTTGAAAAGTGGCTAGAAATCATCGAATCCTTCTCTTCGTCTTCCTCGGAATACTCTTCAAAACACCCACCATCGGAATTATTAAAATCCTTGTCGGAGAGGTCCAACAAATCATCCACGGAAAATTCATCAGGGGAAACATTAACAACGTTATCAATTCCGGCAACACACCATAAATCTTCAAACAAGGTTTGTTGGGTTGATTTGGAGCCAAATTCCTTAAGAAAACTCGATTTCAATGCTTTTGCTTCAATGCACTCCATGGTGGTTTTGGGGTTTTTTTTTTATTATCTAAAATTTAAATTTAAACAGACAAGTTATATTCGAGCGTTACAGAGAAAAAAAAACAACATAGAATTGAAACGCAGTTGATAAATTAATGAAACAAACAGTAGATAGATACAATAATTGTGTATGTATAGGTCATATGTGGTACCTTTGGAAATGGAGAGATATGTAGAGAGAGAAAGTGTGTGTTGCAGGTGGAGGTGGTAGGGATGGGAGAAAAAGGAAGGGGGGAATTGGGTAAAGAGCACTGAAATGAGAAGATTGGTTAGTGGCCGAAACTGATGGTGGAGTTAATTCTTTTTTTCTTTTTTCCTTTTCTTTTATTTGAATTTGAATTTTATATATTGAATTAATTACACGAATAACAAATATTGATATATATCTTTGAAATTCGTATTATTGTTTGATGTATATACGTTCTTTTAACGCATCAGCAGAAAAGTTAATTTATTGTATAAAGTATAAACCATCTTAAATTAGCTTATTAAAACGTAAATAACTGATTTATCCATTAATATATTTTAAGAAATAAAATGTTCTTATTTTTTATACTTATTCATCTATCTATATTCATGTTAAATATTGATAAGTTTCATATTTAACAAAATTAATTATATTTAAGACACATGCAATCATTTACACTTTGTTGTCAAGTTCAACTTAACAAGAAAAAAAATGAATAAAAGTAAGAAAAATGTAAAACAAATTAATGTTCCAGAGTTTCACTAAAGAAATGAAGTGGATGGAAATAGAATAATCATTTTTTTTCCTAACTTTCCTTCCGATTTAAAATGATTTGAAAAGAAAGAATGTGAATACTAGAATCAGTGTGCAAGGACAATGTTTGAAAACTCAAACCTTGAGTTAATCATTAAGATCAATGTCTGCTCTTAATTAAGGGTTTCAATCGAGTCTAGTAATACCAGTCAAGACTTGAATGAAATATTCAACAAAGTACCCAATATTAAATGAAGTAAACTAGGAGTATAATCAATGTAAAGACATTTAATTAACAAGAAGAATGTTATGAAAAATCTTGACTTGAGAGAAAAGTGAAAGAGAATTAAAGAGAATTTTTGCTATCTTTGGAGTAACAATGCATGTGGTTTTGAAACTCTGAATGGTACTTCAGAAGAGTGGCCAAGTGGGGTGAGAGGATGACCAGAGTCATCCAGAATGCCTTTGATAGATTCCTTTTGAGAGGAAGTATCGACTTTGACTCTATTTTTAGCTTTTGGTTTAGAGGGAGAGGTCTTTCTCTTGGTTGCCTTTTTTTCTTTCCACCAGTCGAGACTGGCTTGGCCACATACGATGTGGGCTCAATAGAGACTGGGGTAGACTGTGCAGGGTTGTACACAATCGAGTTCTCTAGATGATATTTCAAGTGAAGGGACTCGGATGGTAGTGTGGGTCCGAAAGATTTTTGGTTTGGAAGGCGATAAGTTTTAATAACTTTAAAGGTCAGAAATACCTCTTTTGGAATGGTGTCGACTGGAATTGGTTCTCACCTCTCTCGGTAGAGTTGTTGAATGGTAAGAGACCAGAATCTCAGACTCGAAATCTCTTGAGGCTTTCTCTTCACAGCAAAACTTTCGAAAATCTTGCCACAAGACTTCGGTTAGGTCGACAACGTTCGTCTTTCCGGAGTAGATGTTGTAAACGACGTAGAGCCAATCTTTGCTCATAGTGTCTGTTCCTCCATGTTTCCCTGAGATACCTTGAAGGATGAGGTGCATGAGTACCGTCCATAGTCCAGGAACTACAAATTTCTTGAACTTTTTCGCCTTGAACTCTTCTACATACCCAATGTGGTTGAGAAACATCTGAAACTCTTCAGACGATGGTTCTTGAACTGTAAAACCCTTAGGGTTTTCTGGAATCCCAATGGCTCTTAGAAACGTCTGTTTTGGGACTAGCACAATTCGATCTCCTGTTATCCTGATTTCTAGAACTCGACCTTCAATCTTGATTCTGTCAAAGGTGATGTGAAGGAGACGAAGTGGAATTGGTGGATCGGGGATTTTTGTGAGAGGAACAGCGATGGGATGACGAGATATGAACTCGATCATAACCTGGATGGACGTGTCATAGTCAATGGGATCCAAAGAAAACAGTTGCGTGGTATCACGAAGGAAGGGTTCAGTCAAAGAGGATGAAGCAGAACCCTTGGAGGATTTCTTCTTGGGAGCAGTTTTGGAGATTTTGGGGGCATTTTGTGAGGAAGCCACAGTTACAGGTTTTGAGAGCTCGATGAACAATTTTTTGCAGAGAGAAAGTGTGACAACCGTCACTTTCTGGTCAAGTCAAAGTCAAAGAAAGTCAACAAGTCAAACCAGCCAACTCAATTAACCCTCGTATATTAGGGTTTACATTATGTTTACTATTGTACAACACACCATCCTAATGCAAAGGATCACTTAGAGTTTTCACGTGTTCAGAAAATCTAAACCCTAATCAGGGTAAGTGATGGAACTACTCGATAAAACATTAATACATACCCTTCGGGGGCGTATAACACTCATAACAAGGCAAAATGGGGTTTACAAACCTTGCATTTCGAAGTTAAACACTCGCAAAGGTCACAAACAAAGTCTCCCTCAATCTCTCTCGCTATATCTCTCTCTCTCTCTCCCAAAGCTCTCTCAAAAATCTCTTTTAACTTTTCATGAACTCTCGGGGCATCCCGACCCTTAATTTAGTCGAAAACAACTCGAAACGGGAAGATTAATGGAAAAACAACCTTAAAGGACCGAAACCTCTTAGGAAACGAAACCCCTCTTAAGAACCGAACCACTCCTAGAAACCGAACCCTAAGAACCGAAGTTGCTAAAGAGTCGAAGCCGAAGGTCCCTTTCGGACCGAACCATCCTTTCGCTTCTATCAAGTTTCGGGTTCGCTTCCAACTTCAGTTTCAGTTTCGGGACCGAGATTAAGGTTCGGGTCTTTATGTCTCAGACCGAAGGCGAAGTTCGGGTCCACCTGTTTCGGACCGAACCTTCGGCCAGTTTCGGATTCTTCACCTCATTTTCCCGGTTTTCGACCACTTTCGCGTTTTAAGCCCGTTTTCGATGATTTTCGCTTGGGATTTTCACCCAAACTTATATTTTGACATATAAGACCCTATATATTCATATTATAATCAAATTTTTGGGGGGAAAACCTTATCTAAGAATAATATCTTTTGTGCAAGATATTGGTTTTGAGTGTTGATTTTCCCATAAAGTAATGACACAAGCTATCTCCCATACCCATCCTATGACAACCTCCAGTCTCTATTCATCTCTGTCTAGTCAACTATTTGTCCTCTCACACTCTTCTCCAGCAAGTCACATTAATCAAATGTTGGAAAAATCCTTATCTCTCCTCCCAAAATATTCATTCTTCTCACCAAAAATCAAACCCGTTTCTCTCTCACTTTCTCTCTTTAACTCGAGATTTCAAGGTTGTTCTTGAGCATTCTCCTCCAGTCTTGGTAAGTATCTTCATCTTACACTTGAATACTCTACACTCCTCTACTAAAATCATGAATCTCTTACACAAATATCATCATATTTGTGCCTAGGATCTTCAAATCTTCAAGCACCTCCCAAGTGTTCTTGACTTGGAAACCTCTCCTCTTCCACATTTATCTCAGAAAATCACTCAAGGTGAGTTCATACCCCCACATTTTCATGTTTTCTTCAAGTTTTATGGGGGGGGGGGGAATACAAGTTAAATCACCTTAACACAACTCAAACTCATACTTCGGCTTTTCACAGAAAAGTTGAGTCCTATTCACGGACTGTTTTGACCATCTTAAACTTAATACCTTTCAAAACTGTTTAATATGCAAGTAGTTCAGGTTTATACCTTTCTAATGACTACTTGCACATCTTCATATGATTTTTCTACAATTTATGGTGATTTTTACAAAACTTCCTATCATTCCAGAAACGAATTCGGACCAGTCTGTGAATACGAACATTTTCACACAAGTTAGAGTTCACTAAAAATAATAGTAAAAATTACAAACAAACTAGCCACATTTTCTAAACTCTCAGAGTTTACAGATTTAGTTTTCGATTTCGTATGATTTTTCTGTGAATTTTCTAAAACAGTGTAGAAAAGTTAAAAACAAGTTACATAGCTTACAATATTAACAACACTTTGTAACATGTTGAGCAAAGTGTATAACAATAAGTTTCTAAATGTTGAATGTATTTCTTGTTAGTTTAACATCATAAACAGAATTAGACATTCATGATAAAGGTTTTCATACACTTCGAACAAGTACAATAAACTATAATAGGTATAGTTTATGGATTTTACAATACAATCATACTACATAAAAAGGGGATTTAATTCCACCACAGAAAAAGTTTTACACTCAATACAAACGGGTTTTTCATATACTACATGATAAACTATAATAGGTATAGTTTATGGATTTCACATCACTAACTTATTGCACAAAGGGAGATTTCAATTCCACCACAGAAAAGGTTTTACACGCATACTATACGTAAACTCGTTATCGTAAATTGTGAGACTAGTCTTCATTATACTCTTAGAGTACGGGTTAAAATTTCCCGAACAGTTATAACCAAAGTCTCTTGTAGGGAGAGCGTGATAATTGTGTATAGATCTATATTGGGATTGACAACTCACACCCATGCTGCTTGCAACAGCCCGATCGGCCGATCGGGGGGTGACAAATGCCATTTCGATTCCGACGCCTGAAGAACGTCGCAGCAGGCATCTCTGTTATAGTATGGTTATAGCGACTCACATAGGGAGATAACGACACATATAGTTTACAGGAATTTCTACTTTAAAAAGGAGTTTTATCTATTTAAAACTGCATACATCGTTATAAGTACGAAACAAACACATACTCTCGGTCTTGGGATTTAAGACTACACGACTTTTTATAAGGAAAATATTGGATTTTCTTGGCTACACATTACAATTACAAACACGTTACAAGTACAAAACACACACATACATTCGGTCTTGGGATTTAAGACTACACGACTTTTTATAAGGAAAATATTGGATTTTCTTGGCTACACATTACAATTACAAACACGTTACAAGTACAAAACACACACATACATTCGGTCTTGGGACTTAAGACTACATCACTTTTTATAAGGAAAATTTTGGATTTTCTTGAAGTATACATTACATTTACAAACAAAGGTTTTCAAACTCTACATCCAAAAGCTTATGAACTCACCAACTTAATTGTTGACACTTTTTCGAAACTACCTGTATTCTCAGGAAATCAGT